GAAAATGCAGCTCAGCGCATCCAACTAGTTTCCTTGAGCATCAGACTAAAGTCAGTGGGTAGCCCTTATCTTGGCTCATCAAGAAGGAAGAGTATGAAAAATGTATCTCTCTATAAAAAACTTTTTTTTCATATGTGATCTCAACAAACAAGACTTGGAGGCTTGAAAGGACTCTTCCCAAGAGAAGGGTTGGCTTGTGAGAGCCATTTGTTAAATTTTCAGGAATCATGTGAGCCTGCTGTTAGACTGTTGATAGCCTGAAATTGGTCATGATTGGAGTATTTACACTATGGAAATTGGCAGATGCTACTCTCAGGACCCACCCTACCATCCCCACATTCCTGAAAGTCTGTTTACCAACACACCTCTGAATAAAATGTCATAAAGTGTTTACCCATAATACAGCAAGAAGAGGCACTGCAGAATCAGAAAGTTAAATATTGGGAGAATCATGATTATGAGTGCATTAACCACTCATAATTCATCAGAAGTTCTCAACACAGCATCTGCATGGATGCTTATGTGTCAGGCATTATGAAGAGTGCTTTACACTGATTTACCCCGAATTCTCACAAACACCTTATTCATTCATACATTCATTTCTTTATCCTTTCATTGGGTGAATACTTACCGAGAATCTGTTTTGGGAGATAACAATAAAGTTAGGCTTCATGGTGCTTACATTCTAGTTGGGGGGAAACAGATGACAATTTTGTAGTTAAATAGAGAAGTGTCATGAAGAAAGGAAGAAGATGAAGCACTAGTGACCTGGGTGGGGCCAGTTTCATATAGGGTGGTTGGGGAAAGTGTCTCGGAGGGGGTGACATCATAAACTGAGACCTAGTAACAAAAAGGAACCAGCCATGTGAGGATCTCAGAAGCTTGCCCAGTGTCACACAGCTAACACATGGTGAAGTTGGTATTTGAATCAGGCTGACTGCAGTGTCTCAGTCTTAAACCATTTCATTACATCTGTTTTCTAGAAGAATCTTTCTCAAACTGTGCTTGGCAGAGCAGCCATTTTGTGGCGTGCTGATATGTGTTATAAGAGTAAAGCGCTGCAGGGCCAAATGAACTTGGGGAAATGCTGTATTCCATAGAGTTCACTGCGGTGCCCCTTGGACTCTTTAATATGCATGTGCGCATCTTACATTTCCAAGAAGGGGACTGGGCAGACGTTCTCAAACTTATTTGACTTGCGTTTTTCTTGTTGCACTGGTGTTCATAAGACATTTTTGAAAAATGCTATGCTAGAAAATACAAATTGTACTTTTAATTTGTGACCTACAAAATATGTAATAATATACAAATAGTTGTTTCCTATTACCAAATAACTGGGTAATTGCCTTCTTTAGTTATTCTGTAAAGCAGAGTTTATTGTAAGCTATTTCCATATTTTCTACTGAGGTTTAGAATCTACTTTTGTCAGGGTGTTTTTTATTTGTAGTAGAAAAATGTGTCTGACCACTTTTGTTATTAAACCAGTAAGAATGACCCGGTTTGAATAAAGAAGTTGCCTGACCCTTGTTAATTTAAATGATTCTAAAACAGGATTTAAAATGTACTTGAGGTTTTTAAGTTCAGCATGTTCTGATTTCTTTTTCATTATGCACAGTTTGACTAGGTTGGAGCTAGATGGTGTAATGCTGGGGAATGGAGTGCTAGTGGTTTTATGATTCATTCTCAGGCAGAGGTGTTGGACCTCACCTAAACCCCATCTCCTGGCCTTGATTAACCTATTGTTTCAGGAGATTTGGAGTTGGCAGGAGTTGCATTCAGGGTGGGTCCGATTGCTTTAGTGTCTTATTGTCTTTTGGTGGTCTAGAAAAGGCTGAGGGTAAAACCACTTCTTTGTCTGGCCGGAAACAACAACAAAAAGGTTATGATCTCAACTTATTTGGAAGACCAAAACTGTTGCCCAGGAACTACAACTGATGTGCTAACATGAGCTAAAGGGTTGGCTGAAACTCAGCATTACTCACTAGCATTGTCTGATACATTTGGATACAGGTTGATTTGATAAGACATTGTTTTATGTGGTAATAGCCTACTTTGTTCTCTGGCATTTTCTGCAAAGAACATATTGTTCCATGCAGGGGTTTTAGTGATCAAGTATCCAAAATACTACTGATTTCATTACAGAAAAAAAATGGATATATATACAAGGATCCTCTTATACTTACTCTGCTTAATATTTTCTTGACTGGTCCTTAGAAGAGAGTCAAGGGTCTCTGGACATATTGCACTGTAAGAGGCTTGAAGAGAAGGTATATGTGTTCTG